CGATAACGGTGGTCCAGGAATTATGCGCTGTAAAAAAATCATTTTGATGAATTTCGAGAAAATAAAGTCATTTTCATTACTTACTAGTAATTACCTTTCTATGGTAAAAGTTTGAGGGAAAACTATTTTCTGATCCGAAATGCAGTGGGCCGCTTTTACAGAGACTGTCTCTTAATAGTTGTTTTCGTTTCATTTGTCATACCCTTTGCCTTCATAGCTTTTTTCTACTTTAAAATCTACAAAGTGGCAAGGCGTCAGGCAAGACAAATTTCTAACCAAGCTAATGTTTCATGGACAACTGAAAATTTGAGCAAAGATGAAAGAAATGATGCGGAGAGGCGAACCCGCAAACGTGATTATAAAGCTGCTGTGACTATTGCTATAGTGATTGGCACCTTTGCTGTTTGCTGGCTTCCCAATTTGGTCATCGGTGTTGTTCACTTTGCTTTCTCAAGAGAGAACGAGTGCAAAGCAGAAAGAACTGAACAGTTTTGGTTAATAACTATTCCTTTTGCGATTTTGAACTCGGCCGTTAATCCTGTGATATACGCGATAAGAAATAAATATTTTCGCAAGGCCTTCAAACAAATACTACGGTTTTACGAAAACACTGATACACTCTAGCGGCTACACCTTATCTAAGCTATATGTTTAAAAAAAAACTATTTAGTCTAAAGCTTCAGTTCTATATACCTTAGCGGGCCTTAGCAGGGACGGTATTTGACGATCAGACATTACATTAAGGCCCCGTCCACACGTATCCGGAAATTTTTGTATCCGCAATTTTTTTTATTTTTTTTTTTCGGATACGGATTGCGTCCACACGTGTCCGGAAATTTTTGTATCCGTATCCGGAAATTTTCAAAATTTTCGAATTCGCTCCGAATACGGATACGTGTGGACGGTCGTGTAAACACGAATTTGCGCATGCTCAATAAGAAAACCTATCCGTCAAGGGACTAGGCACTAGCGTGCATCAGGGCGGATCAAGAAATTTGCGGATACGTGTGGACAGTGAAAACGAATACGCTGCGTGTGGACGCGAGCATTTTCGTATCCGGAAAAAAAAAAAAATTGCGAATACAAAACTTTCCGGATACGTGTGGACGGGGCCTAAATATAACAGTAGCCATTTCTCTTTCGTTTCTTTTTCATATATAACTCAAGTCATTAAAGCTTCCATATTTCATATAACTCATGTATCCAGCAACCTGAAGATTGAAAAATAAAGTATTCAATACATAGTTAATAGTTAATAGATAGTTAGTATCAACTATGTTCAATACAAGGAATTTTAAAGTACTCATTCAACAGCAAAAATATTGTAAAAGTGTATTATTCTATTTCATTATCACCTTAGTTAAGAAATAAAAATTTAAAACTCCATTTTACTTTTTTTAAATGTGTTTTGGAGAAAAGAAAATATCATCTAGATGAAAGTATTGTATTTTAACTGACTTTAAGGTATTAGGAAACGTTTACGACCACTATGCGCGCAAACTTAAATAACGCGCTTGCTTTATAGTATAACACAAACAAAGTATGCATTTTCTGAAAGCTGAATAAACATAGTTTATAAAGCAATCTTCAAAATACGATTTTTTAAATTGTTGTTTACGTTATTGTCCTCGAAGCGAAATTTGACCATGCCTCAGTAAAAACGTTAACGGACACGTACATTTTAAGCTATGTTTGCGAAAAATGTCATAACATACTCAGGAGAAAATAAGCTCCAAAAGGGTGTCCCAGATTTTTGATGTCTGTTTTATATCTCTCGCTATTTTTGATCAAAGTTCGACGATTGCTTTTGGAGTGTTGTTTAGAGTAAAAAGCCTCATAACTTTGGAAAGGAATTAAATTTCAAAAATCGGAGACACCCTTTTTTGGGTTATGAGTTTCTTTTTAAACTCTCCAAAATTTAGAAAATTGAATGAAATCCAAGGGCCTTTTAGCTTTTCGAAGTTGAAGTTTTAGCGGCAAATAAAGCTCGAGAAAATTGCATTTCTTTGTTTGGAGCCGGAAGCTGCAGGGAGCCACGATGGTGTTGGTCAAAACACCTTCAGCCTTCCATTTTGTCATCACTTGTCATATTATCTGTTGTTCTGGACGATCGCAATGTARGATCTTTTTACAAGGACAAAGGAGCATTTGGAGTCAACGTTATTGCAAGCGATGGGACATTTCCGGTCTTGATAAAGTCACGATTTCGAATTGCCTCAAAATTTTGGTTTTTCCAATCAAATATTGCAAGAAGTTTCACTAACATATGAAAGACCAAAGTTTAAAGTTACGAAATTTCAGAAAAAAATTTTTTTCGAGCAAATCGTCATTTTTCGTATCCTAATACCTTAAAGTGAAGCTAAGTGACGGACCCCATTATATAATTGAGGGAGGCTGCGTAAATCCGGGAAAAATATCTAGCAACACTTCACCCAACAACAAAAAAAGTGTGACTTGAATAGATAGAACTGTGGTGTAATAATGTTAGAATGTTGATCATCACAGTGAATAAGCGAATAAGCGTTGAAGCCTGAAATCATTTTTTCAGGTCTTTCTTTACAGCGTTCGCTTAGATCGCTTATTCACTGTGATGATCAACATTCCTCTTTTTTCAGTAAAGAAATAGGGGTTGTGCAAAACAATTAAACCTGGACAGTTTGCGATGTCAGTGACTATGGGTTTTCAGGTGATAGGAATCTGAAGTGGTCAGGAGCACTTTAGGCAAAGTGACATCAAGCATCACGTCAATGGTTCAAGTGATCAGATCCCGATAACACTTCCTTGGATATTCATCCATCAATAAAAGATTGCAAAGAGCAAACCATAGATAGTATAAGAGCTAGAACCACTCTATTGAGCCAATTCATATATCGCAGTTTTACATGCTAATGAGGCCTTCCCAAAATTGAGGAAGGGACTTGGGCCGAGTGAAATATCAATCTAATTTTTAAAAATAATCACAAAACAGATCATACTAATATTAGTATCATTACCGGGTTTGAGTGTGTTTGGATGAATACCTAGTCTCCTACGCAGCCGCTATGAGTTTCGTCACGCGACGCTCACTCCCCTAAGTAAGCGTCGCGTGACGAAACTCATAGCGGCTGCGTAGGAGACTAATGAATACCTAGTGAGAAGCAAGCTTTTAAAAGTTGCAAAAATAACAGGAATGCACGACCAGGGCTTGAGGACAGCGTCCCAAAAACCGTACATTCTCTCTTATTTTTACGTTTTGTTTAAAGCCTGCAAATTTTCCGAACATAAAAAATCTCTTAGATTAACTTCCTTTTTTTAACAAGTTGTAAGCTGATTTTCACAGTATTTTTATTTCGTGTTCTCCACACAGGTCATTAAAATATTAGCAGAACTTATTGGCATGTAAAAATGCGATATACAAATTTGTTCTTATATTTCAGGTTAATGAGTTTGTAATGAGTTTGTTTGGAACGTTCGATGTGTGTGCGCACACAAAAAGCTCATACAAAAACCGCTAGTCAAACTACCTTCAAAGTCTTTTTGAATGAATAGATGTCCTGAGAAATTTACTTGCATAGCTCTTTTATTTTTTGAGTTTTGAAATTTTGTGCGAAGCTTGGTTTTCGCCATTTTTTTTAATCAAAAATTTGTGAAGGCTAGAGTAATGTCCAAAACTCCATATGTAGAAAGTTTAAGATTCTCATTTACGGCAAACGTGAAACGTCAGTTGACCACTAAAAGATTCTTTAAAAATAGTGAAAAGGAATCGCAAAAATCTCCAAGTAGTAGATAAACAAAAGAATACTTGTCTTTGACGAGAAGGTTTGCAAAAGGTAAAGTGAAATGTAAGGAAACGATGAAAATGTGTTCACGTTTGCCGTTTGCGGGAAGGAAAACTGAACGGGAATTTTAATCTGCGTTTTATCTCGAAAACGACCTCAAGTCACTCAGTTTTTCTTTATTTAATTTAAATTAGCATTGACGTTTTTCATTAACATTTTGCTAGAGAGGAGTCAGACACTTTATTACGATGGAAAATCAGTAGAAACCTAAGACATATACTTTCCGGGGACTAGTTGTTCAGGATTCTTGATAGGGTCTTGATAGTGTTTGCAGTCATTGGCATGTTTGTCATTCGTTGCGTTGTTGTTCGACCAAGTACTTGTTGAAAAAATTCTCTCTCCCAAACACTTAGAATTTAAGGACTTTTCAGTTGAGGTCTGTCCAGGTGGCCCGGTTGCCATGGTAACCTCTGCGAACGGACAAGACTTCCCACATGTATCATTACGATGAGTTTTAACGCTGTCTTTCTAATGTTTTCTTTTGAGTAAAACGATCATATAGGGTAGAACCTATGTTAGGCTGCGTTCATAATGACAGAGGGAAGGGGGGAGGGCAGGTGAAATCTTTAAATGACAAAAAAATTATTAAGAATCCCCCTTGAAGTCCCCCAAAAAATAACTACACCCCCGGGCAATCTCTCGTAGCTTCTTTTAAAAATCCCCCCCAATTCTCTGATAAAATTTTCAACCCCCCT